CATTTCAAATTCGTATCAGGCCTATTTTTATGGGGGAGATTCGACATTTGAATTGCAGACGTGATCTTCAGCGCTACAGCAACCAAAAAAAAACCGAACATATACTACACATAAAAAAATCGTGAGAAATCGGAGTAGTTCAATCCAACAAGTTCACAGAAAATATACTACAGCAGATCGTGACCTTACGATTCAGATAATTCGAGGTATATTTATGTTATTTTGTCGGATATTTAAAACCATACAATTATGATTTTTTTTTATAATTTTAAGGTTTAATTTCTGTTTTCGTTTTCTTTTTCTTTTTTTTTTTGTAGATGGATTCGATCATGATGATATTAGTACATCATGGCGGTGAATGGATCGAGAACGAGTATGTGAATTACAGTCTGAATGGTGTTTTGGTTAAAAAAGATTGCAACTTCAAAGAATTTTGTGGTATATTGTGTGATGATTTCGGGGTGATGTCGCAATCATGTGCCGTTGAACTGAAATATAAGCTGAAGGAAGGGAGTCCACCAATAACCATAAAAGATGATAGAAGTCTTGGGTTCTACTTTTTCTTGAGGTACAAAGAAGATGACTACACAAAGTTTCCTATTTGCTTGGAGGTGAAGGCTGATAGTATTGCTGGGAATTTGTTCGATAAAGAACGGAATACGTCTTATATGAATTATGAAACAAATGTTGAACCTTTGAGTTACCCGGGTCTTGACAGGTATCCTGACGTAGAAGATGACTCGATTAATTTCATGTCTTTCGCAAAGAATGTTGCTGCAGATATGGTAGAAGCCGTCGCATATACCCAAAATATACTCAACATAAACTCTGGTACTGAGATGGGGTTCACAGTAGAAGAACATGTTGACTACGGTATTGTTGCCGGTCGGTTATTAAAGGATAAAAAAGAGCTTCAGAAATTGTTGACCATGCATGCCATCAAGAATCAATATCAATTCAAGGTGGAGAAGTTGTGCTCCAAACAATACACAGTAAGGTGTGTGTCGAACGATTGTTCATGGTTTGTGAGAGCATCACGCTTGGGTAAGTCAAACACTTTTAAGATAAGGGTTATCGGGACTGAGCATGTATGTTCGTTTGATGTTCGAACAAGTAACCAGAGACAAGCTACCTCAACCGTTGTTAGCGATTTTATCAAGATGAAATTCACGAACACGAAGACAACATATAATCCCCTTGATATCGTGGATGACATGCAAACTCGTTTTGGGATAAACTTGACGTACCAAAAAGCGTGGAGGTCAAAACGGAAAGCTGTTGATGTTGTACGTGGGAAAGTTGACCAATCTTACAATTATGTTCATCAGTATCTTTTGAAGGTACGTGCATCAAATCCAGGTAGCATTTTTAGGGTGAGCACCACTCCGGAGAAGAATTTCTTGTACGTATTCATGTCACTTGGAGCATCTGTTAAAGGATGGGCCCATTGTCGGCCAATTGTTATTGTCGATGGCACATTTTTGACATCGGCATACGAGGGGCTCTTGTTAACAGCATGTTGTCAAGATGCAAATTCTCACATTTTACCGCTTGCATTTAGTGTTGTTGATTCAGAGAATAACCACTCATACATGTGGTTTTTTAGCAAATTGCAAGCTGTTATTGGTGACAGGGTTGGCATTTGCATTGTTTCAGATGGTCACGAAAGCATAAGACACGCTGTGGAACAGGTAATGGTATATTTGAAGTTATAATTGAGTATATTTAATGGTACATATACTGTTTAGTTATTGAATTGTGTATTGTTCCTTGGGTTACATATATATATTAACTAGTACATACACTGAGCAATCATCAATTGTACTTATATTTTTATAGGTATTCCCAAATGCGGCGCATTGTCTATGCACCTATCATATCTCAAACAAATTGAAGATGCATTATAAGACTGAGGCACAAGCAGTAAAAGAGGAGTTTTATGCAGCAGCAAGGGCATATACCGTAGATGAATTCAATATGCATATGTCTCAAATAATGAAGTTGAATCCGGATGACGTAACGTATCTAGAAAAAGTTGGCTTTCAGAAGTGGGCACGAGTTCATTGCCCCAATAATAGATACTTTACCATGACATCTAATGCTGTTGAATCAATAAATGCTGCAATTCGGTCCATTCGTGACCTACCAATAACAACACTACTTGAGGCTCTTAGGGACATGCAGCAGAGATGGAATGTGGCTAACAAGGATGAAGCCAAAGGCACATTTACTACTCTTGCAAAGAAGCCACATAGTATGTTGGAAACTAATTACAAAATAGCAGCAAGATATTCTGTAAGTATTAATGGTTCTCCTTATTTTTTTTATTGTACTTTTTTTTGGGTGACTTATTACTTGAAATACACCAAAAATATACGTCAAATATACTAAAATGTGTAACAGGTTCAGAAAGCCAGTGACAAAGTGTTTAAGGTGATAGCTGACGAAAAAGCCTTTATAGTGGACACAGAGTCAAAGTCCTGAACATGCCACCGCTTTCAAGTTGATGAGCTGCCGTGCCCGCACGCTATACGTGTTATAAAGTCACTAAACCTCGATCCGGTTCCATTCTGTTCTGCGTACTACCTAAACTCTACAATGTTATCAACTTATGAGGATGTTGTTATACCAATTGAAGGAAATATAGCATTCACGAGTGAGGCGCAGAGTGACCACACTTTAATAAGTCCACCAAATGCAAGAGTTAGGCCAGGGCGACCACGCAAGCAACGGGTAAAGTCCGGATGGGAGCATAGGTCAAAAAATAGGTGCAGCAAGTGTAATGAGAAAGGGCACAATGTGAAAACTTGTAGGAATCCGAAGAGGTTATAGTCCAATAATTGTTATGTATATTTTGAATTAGAATCGTTATTAATTAATTATTCTGGAGATTATATTTTGTGTTGTATTAGTATGCGTATGTTTGACTTATAAGAAAGTGTAGACCCTATACAGGAAATATACATGTGTGGTGAAC